TATCGGCTAGGGTGATCCTAACGTTTTCCTATCTAGCTAAGGTAATAATACCAAAAATCACTTGATAAGAATTGATTGCCAGTTGCATGGGGTTCAACTTATAATAATGAAGGATCTCGCGAAAAAGGATGTTGAGTGGGAGCCGGAGTCCGCACTCAGTAAAAACTACAATGGGAAGGGGCATGGCATCCTCTGTAGGCATGATGGAGTCATCATCCCCAGCCAGTCTCAGATGGACATCGGCGGGGGTGGAGAACTCCTGCCTAAAGTACTCAAGTTTGGTCGGGGTATCTACCCTGTGTCTCCACATACCCATGATATCGGCCTGAATTAGAAGGGTTGAAATTCAGAAGAAAGATGTTTCTTATTAATGAGACCTCGGCAAAAACCTAGGTTTAAGCTGGTACAGAAATTTGTAAGGAATGTTTCAGTTTTGCCCTAAATCGTGGGTTCTACAAACAAATCCCAAACCTAAGCTATGAAGATAAAGACCAAAGGTATAGATCTGGAAAAGATGCAAAAAACAAAAAACAAAAACAAAGTTTCAGAAACAAGAATTGGGATGGGCTATCAAGAACATGAAGAATACAAGAGTATATGGCCAAGAACAGTGGTAAAAGTGCAAAGAAGTGGTAAAACAATGCGTGTGTTTAGAATGTAGGCAAAGGCAAAATCATGGATGAATGCATTCAGATGTACGATTTATGAATTAAAAAGCTTAAAACAGTACAGTAATGACGATAGCCAAAAAAGAAGAAACATCAGGAACTTAAAACGAAAGGAACAATAGCTTACCAGAGAAAGGGGAGCCGGAAAGGGATTTGCCGATGTCCTACGACGATTGCAAGAGCAGAAGACCGGTGAAAATCTTGCTGGAAATGGTGAACGGAGAAGGTTGCAGAGCTTTGGAGCTTAAGCAATGGAGGATTTCAAAGGCTAGAAAAAGAGAGAAGGGTATTTGATTAAACAGAAACGGCGGCAAAAACAATCAATACGCCTAGAAGAACGAGGGCATCAGACGGCGTACGTGAGAAAAGAGGTGGCTAACAAAGCACGTCACCTGTACGGACCAATAGGAGGGAAACGCATGTCGAAAACGGTTGGGTTGAAGTGCATGACAACTCATGCGTGTGAGAAGATCCTTAAAAATCTTGATTTTTTAGGGAAAGCATGTCGACCAGAAATGGATGATCTCGACTATCAAACTTTAAGCCGATTTACTGGAAAAAAAATACAGATATAGGTTCCATCACCTCATAATGCCGAGGTAATAGAACCTAAGGGGCAGTTGTGGGGATGTATTTTTTGAATACCAACACGTGGCAAGGTGACGCCGATGTGTCAGCCGAGGTACCACGTGTCCTGGTTGTTACACCGAGGTTATCTCGGCAAGGCCGAGGTTATCTCCGAAGATATCGGAATCCGAGATAAATGGACAAAAGATAAGGGACAAGAGTCCTAGAGTAAAGAGGAGACCTAGCCAAGATAAGGATAAAACTCTTAGGGAGTTTATCTTTATCTCTTGAAGAGTCCAAAGTAAGTACTGAATGGGAATCCATAGAAGTCAGGCTTCTAGTGGGATCAGGATTGAGATGGCTATAAAAGATAGGCACCCCGTGGGTCTAAAGTACGCAATTTTATGCTTTGAATAGTAAGTTTAACACTTGATTATCTTTGAGAGATATACTGACTTGATCGTCGGAGTGCCCCCGGGTGGTTGAACCACCGCCGGAGACTTCTCTTTCTGTTGCAGGTTAACTAGAGGCCATCTATTCTGCCAGTGCTTTTCTAGCTGATTACTAGGCGGGCAGTGTGGTCAGAAAATCACCCACACACTGCCCATAATCAATTAACTTTATGAATCATGTTACATGGGCATGACAAAAATATGAGATCTTCAATTTAAACCCAGCAAATATCTCTCCTCATCGATTTGCACAATAATTTTTCCACCAACTATAAGAGTTAAAATATATGCTTGGGGTGTAAAGAGAATTTTAAGAAGTGTATTTAGAGTTACTCAAACTCAACTGTACAATATCAAAATTGAATAAGAGGACTGTTATTAATACTTATCTAATTTTTTTGAACCCCCATTTCTTTGAATCCCTACCTTAAATCTTAAATTTTAATAAGATTTTCTTAAAATGCTGCACTTAATACTAATTTTACCCATATCACACCCAAGTGTGCACTCACCTAATTTTGCATACCATCTCTTCTTCTTCTCTTAGTAACAATGGACAATTGAGAGACGATTGAGAACAACAAACGATTGAGAGACAAATCGATTTTCCCTCTCTTCTCCTCTCATAAACAATAGTCTCTTTTTCCTTGTCACCATGAACGACGGTTTCTCAGTCATAAATCTCGTCGAAAATCTCTTCGACAGTTTTTTTCTTATTCTCTCAAGTAATCTCCAACTCCCTATCATATATATATTTTTTTTTGTCTATTTTGGGGTAAAACCCTCCATACAGGAGGTTCTATAAGGAAAAATCCTCAAAAAAAAAAAAACCAAAAATAGGGTACAAAATGAAACCGTTCAACATTCTAGTGCCGAACAAAATCTTTATGTTCAACATTATATCACTGAATAGAACCTTAACAGTCGGCAAATCAATACCGAACCAAAAACAACCCAAAATCGTTAAATGCAACATTAACCTCATCAAAGTTGTTGTCATCCTCTTTCATTGCTCTATATGTATCAACGAATAGTGAAAACGACCACAAATATAGAAACTTGAAATCTGTAATAAGATTGTTTGCAACGTTAACTGATTTGGAACACCAAATACATTTGAAACTACCGAACAAAATATTAACTAATTAGATGGTTTCAAATGTTTTTCATTGAAAATGAATATGTGAGCTTAGGATGGTGATGAAGAAGAATACGATTAGGGTTTAGATTAGTAAGGAGTATGTATAGATGGAGATGGAGGTGGGTATACAATATTAGAGAGTATCATTCTAATTGTTTTTATTCGGTGGGTGGGTGTTCCGTTAAAAGTTATTCTTTAATGTAATTTTACTTTAGGGTATATAGGAATGGCAACGGGGCGGGGCGGGGCTGGGGATCACACTCCCCGTCCCCGATCCCTGATGGTGGAAATACCCCCGTCCCCGGCCCTGATCCCCGACGGGGAGCCCATAACCGTCCCCGTCCCCTAATGGGGATCGGGTTTCCCCGACCCCGAAATTCTCCGATCAAAAAATTAAAAAAAAAAAATCTAAAAAACATATTTCAACAACAAATCTAACAGAGATCAAAAATAGATTTTAACAACAAATCTAACAGATTTCAACAACAAATCAGAGAGAGAGAGAGATTTTCAACAACAGATTTCATTTTCTTGATCTTCATCAACAAATAGATCAAAAAATTTAACACATTCATCAACAAATCTAACAGAGATTAACATGTTCATTTTCATCATTTCCAGATCTGAAGAACAAAATCAAAAAACAGAGAACAAAATAAAAAAAACAGAGAGAGAGAGAGGGGAGGAGATATCGCGAGAGAGAGAGACAAGGAGATACCATGAGAGGGAGAGAGGAGGAGCTGCGGTGAGGAACGACGGTGTGGGAGGAGGCGTCATCGACCAAACCAGGAAGGGAGAGAGAGAGAGAGAAAAGGAGATACCATGAGAGAGAGACGATAGCGTGAGAGAGAGAGAGAAGAAGAAGCCGCTGCTGACCAAAACGGTGAGGAGGAGCTGCGGTGAGAAGCGGCGGTGAGGGAGTTCCGCCAGAGGAGGAGCGGCGGTGAGAAAGGAGCCGTTGCCGACCAAAATGGTGAAGGAGAGGCGATGAGGAACGACCGTGTATGTGAGAGAGAGAGGGAGAAGATGTTTGTGCGTGGGTGTGCTGCGTCTACCAACAGCCCAAACCTTACACACTCTCACACATATATTATATATAGAAGGGGCAAAATAGTAATTTCACACCGGGGGCAACCGGGGCGGGGATCGGGAACGGGGACGGGGACGGTGTCGGGGTCGGGCCGGGGCTGAAACATGTATCCCCGCCCCCGGCCCGAATATTATCGGGGATTCAATTTTTAATACCATCCCCGGCCCGTCGGGGGTATTTTTCGAGGAATAACCGCTCGATTCAGGGTCGGGGGATCAGGTCCCCGTCGGGCCGGATTCCAATTGCCATCCCTAAGGGTATAATTGTAATAAAAGAAAATGTGAGAATTGAAGGGTCCTAAAAAATTACAGGAGATGCTAATAGCAGCACTCTTGAATAATTAATATATCTTTTATTTTTTCAATTTTCTTTTGGACCCACCAATTTATCCTTTGTGGATTTTATGGGTGAAATATTGTTGTTTTATTAATTAATTATAAAGTATTAGAATATCAAAATTTATCCGTTTGATTGAGTTTTTAAAACCTGTGTTTTAGAATATTTTTAATAAAAAACAAAATATAGTCATTATTTTCATATAATTTTTTAGATTAAATCAGTATGTTTGGTTTCAAATTTTTAGAATTAATTTTTTGAAAATTAATTTTTTTATTTTTCGTAATTTTTTTTTATTTTTAGTGAATATTTTTAAAATTTTAAGTAATTTTTTTTATTTTTGTAGATACACCTTACTTAGATATATTTAAAAAATAATATATTTGTAGAAAAACATTTTAAAAAATCAATAAATACATTACAATACAAAAAATATATTGAATTCTCATTTTTTTTTGGATATTTAGTGAATTTTCAAAAGATTTTTTTTCACAAATATTATATTTTTTAAGTATATTTATGTTAGATGTATCTAAAATTTAAAAAAATACTTAAAATATTAAAAAAATTGGCAAAATTTAAAAAATATGAAAAATAAAAAATTTTAATTTTCTAAAAAGTGAATTTTAAAATCCAAACCAAATTTTTAAAATTTGAAAAATAAGTATTATTTTGATGTCTATTTTTTTTCAAATTAATTTCAAAATTTTGAAATTAATTTATAAAAGACCAAGTGCGACATATAAGCCACGTGGTGCCTAAGGTCACACTCTCCTGGACTAGTGCAGCGCGAATTCTCTACCCCTCTCCTGGATTCGAGGCTCCATTGACGAACCTTGGAGCGATGTCGAAGCTTTCATCGTCCCTCTTCCACTTCAGGTAAACCAAACTCAATACCCTAAACCCAACTCATACTTGTCTCAGAAACCTCCTTAACTTCTCAATCTCTGCGAAATCTATCGACACCTTTTCTTCATCACTGGAATAGAATTTATTCAGAAAATGACAAAATTTTCAGCTGTAAATTTGCTTCATGCGAGTGGATCATGAAAGGAAAACTACCCATTTTAAATTTCCTCCAATTTTTCACTCTACCCATAGAGATTTTTAATTTAATTTATTTATTTTTTAACTTTATAAAGTTTTGATTTTGAGCAGGAAATGTGTGAAGAGATTAGTAGTTGATGTTGGCTCTGTTATTCTGGGTTTATATTTTGTTTGTCATAAATGTATTGGGGGTAAAAAGTTGTATGTACTTGGTGACTGTGGGATTTAAGCATTTCTAGCATCATTGTTGTAAACATGATCTCTAAGCAAACATTATTATGTGCTTTAAAGCTATGGGTTGATTATATTTTCGACGCGGGTGTGGTCTTCGCTCTACTTTTATGTTTTCTGCAGTTGCTTGTTGCAGGGTTTCCTGGGAAGTTTAGGGTTTTTGCAAGATAAGTTTGGGCAGTTGCTTCACCTCACTTTTTATGTTTGGGCTATTTAGTGTGGTTGATTGGGGGAACTACCAATATCCATGGAAATTCCTCCCTCAAAATCTTTAACGTTTTTTTTTTTTTTTTTTTTTTTTTTTTTTTTCAATTTACTTGACTTAATGTGGGAAATGGGGAGTGTCTTCTTTTTTGGGAGGATGTTTGGAGGGGAAAGGTATCTTTTGCTAATTCGCTTATTACGATCTCGTCAGTTGCTTCCATGGTTTTATCTCATTCTTCTCCAATTCATTGGACGATCTCGTCAGTTGCTTCCATGGTTTTATCTCATTCTTCTCCAATTCATTGGAATTTCCATTTTCCAGAAATCCTATTGATCTTGAGGAAAATGAATTTGCTTATTTGATTTCCATTCTTGAGGGTGTTTCTTTGGTTAATCAAACGTAGCGATAAAAGGGTGTGGTCTTGTATGAAGCATCCACAAATCATTTTCCTTAAAGAAGCATCCACAAATCACATATGCTATTGTCATTGGTAAAATTGGCGGAGAAAAATGGAAATCAATGTCAGAAGTTGAAAAAGGCCTTATCTGAAGTTGGCACAATATTGATACATTTGTGTTTTTGGGTGTGGATGGTCATTGGTTTGTATTGGGGATGTTGGGTATTTTTTTGTTCTTTTTCTCCTTTATTCTTTTTTCCTTTTATTTGATTCTGTAATGGTTGTGCCCCCTTGGCATATTCTCTAGTGCAAGTTTCTTTGATCATGTATTTGAATTATTTTCTTGCATCATGTATTTGGCAGACTTCTTGTAAACTTTGTTCTCTTTTATATATCTATTTTGTTTCTTTTTAATAAAATTTTCTATTTTGTTATCTCATGGAAAAAATAGTGAGAGATTTTATGAAAAACAGCGAGTGTGCTAATATAGAGAACATACTATTTAGTCGGCATCCAATAAATTTAAGCTTGTTTTTTGAATTAGGGCGTCTCGACTAGGTGACTGCAAGTTTTTTTGGTTGTTGTTAAAGTTGAATAGTTTGTTGAACAGAAAAAGGGAGCAGATCACCCTAAATACTTTTGAATGCATTCAAAAACAATCTCTAGACTTGGATTTTGAAGCTCATCAATTTTTTTGATGATTGTTTTTTGAAGTTTAGTATTGAATTCCTTGTCAAAACAGGAATCAGTTGTCTCAAAGAAACTTATCTGCAAAAGATGTGAGAGATGCTTTACCGTTGCAAGGTTTTATGTCCCGGGCATTCATTTCTACTGCTAGAGAAACGTTTTCCGCTGATGGTATTTACAATTTCATCAAACATCTTCATTCCCCCTTCTCCTTCTCTTCCCCTTTTTTTTCTTTTAACTGCAGTTTATTTGATAGCCTGATCATTTTGTGTCCTTTTCTGAGCCTTCAGGAAAATTCGCTGACCGAATAATTGCACCTTATTCTATTTACAAGGGCAAAGCTGCATTTTCTGCTACCCCTGTTCTCCCAACATTCAGTAAACTTGGTGTATGATTTTTTTTATCTTGTTCATATATATATATATATATTGATTAATAAAAAATTCATTAAAGATGACATTAAGAGAATGCCATCATTTACATAAGAGAACTTGTTTATAGGTGTGTGTATATATACAGAGATAGATAGATAAATAGGTAAACAGAGGGAGATAATGCATATATATTTCTTTGTCAACATAATTGAACTTTGCTTCTCATTCATTTTTTATGTTGCATAGTCTGGAAGTCTTAAAGTTGATCGCCGTGGCAGTATTATGTTGAAATTTTGGCCTGCTATTGGAGAACGCAAGTATGACTGGGAAAAGAGGCAGGTACAGTTGAATTCTTTAGTGTTTCCTTGGCAATATTATAGTTTCTTTACTATGGAACATTCACAAATAATATTCACAGTGTCATATGTTTTTAGTTTCTTTAAAAATCTTTAACAAGAAATGCTGACATAGAATCTTCTTGGATCTTTTAGATGTGGCATGTCAATTACACTTCAGCTGCCTGCAAGATTGTCACTTACTTGTCATATTCTATAGCTGCCTTGAAAACCTATGAACAAGACTCATTACTTAACCATTCCTTACTGGATCTTAGTAGCTCATGTACATCTTCCACCAAAAACATCTTCAAGTTATTGACCTATTTCATTAACATTTTGCAGTTGTTTGCCTTGTCTGCGACGGAGGTTGGATCTTTGATAAGTTTGGGTTCTAAAGATTCTTGTGAATTCTTTCATGATCCTTCAATGTTATCAAGGTAATTTCAGAAATATATGTAGTTTCTATATGGAATATATCAGCTTTTTTGTTTAACTTGCCATGAGAATTGCATAATGCTAAAATCTTGTGTCACATAGCATCTTTTTTTTCTAGTTGTGAAAGTTTTTATTTTTATTTTTATTTTTAATTTTATAATATATATAATATTTATTTTATTTTATTTATTTTTTTAACTTGTTTGCTCTTCTTTAAAGTACACATTGGGTTTAAATAGTGATTTTTTTTTTTTTGGTTTAAGATTGATTGAAGGTTTAAATAGTATTTAATGTTACAGCAATGCAGGACAGGTGAGGAAGACCTTATCAGTTAAGCCAAATGATAATGGCTACTTTATTTCACTGAGTAAGTGTTTTTATCCATGGATTGCATATGTAGAACTTTTTGTTTCAAAACATGATTTGTATATATATATTAATCAGTCCATCTTTCTACATCTTATATATTCTTATATATATATATATTAATCAGTTCATCTTTCTACATCTTTAGTTTTGTATAGACCATGTAGTGCATTATTAGTGAAAATTTGTGCTCTTAAGTTTTGAATGTTTAGTTAGTGGAGTTATCTTCCTAATATGAGGTTAGAGCTGTAAAAATGTAATTCTGGAATTATGTTAAATATCGATATAATACGTCTGCACACAGTGCTAATGTTATTTTCACAACATAACTGACCTGTTGACGTTGCTTCTTTTAAATTATTGTGAGATTTTTTTCCCCTTGGTCTGTTAGAAATTTGCTGTGTGTTAGGTCACTAGTTGCCCAAAAATGCGTAAGCTTTTAGGGAATGAATTTATAGTAAGCTCTCACACCCTCCCTCGCATGTGAGAGACTAATTAACACAAAGTGTATTGACCAGGGTGCAGAAACACACATGAAGTAGAGTGCACACTAAGAAACATAATGGGGGAACAAAGACATGATCAGACTAGAAGATTTGGAATAACTTTATTGAGAAGATTTGGAAAAAATTTGAGGGACGGAAGAGGGCTTTGATCTTTAGAGGTAGATATACTTTGGTTCAGTCAGTTGTGTCTAGTGTTCCTATTTACTTTTTTTCTTTGTGTTAAGTTCTGGTGAGTGTGGCTAGTAGAATTGGAAAATTGATGAGGAATTTTCCATGGGAAGGAAATGACGAGGGAAAGAAGTACTACTTGGTTAGGATGTGGTTTCTCTTTAAATAGTTTTATTTTTTTGCGTAACTATGCATCCTAATTGCACTCTTAGAAAATTGTTTGTTATGAATTTGCATTTTTCTTTGCAGGTGTTGTCAACAATATTCTAAAAACCAATGACCGCTTTTCAGTTCCTGTCACTACTGCCGAGTTTGCAGTGATGCGCACAGCTTTCAGTGTATGACAAACTGTTGCTTTACTCACCTTCAATTATCATTTAGCTGAAATACTGCTTGTGTATTTCCTATTTTTATGCCTATGTTACATAGACTCTGGAACTGGTGTCAGGTGCAAGTATGTGTCGAAGAATCTCATACCCTTACCCAATGTATTTATAGAAAATTCGCTTAATGTTTTATCGATAAAGTTATTCAAGATTTTATCTGCTGCCTTTTCTGTTTCTAAAAAAATGTCATTCGGGTCAAATGTTTTGCACAGCTCTCATTTTAATTTGGCCTTTTCTTCTGCAGTTTGCTTTGCCCCACCTCATGGGCTGGGACCGGTATACCCATCAGCTGCCTCAAAGCATGTATGAAAACCCATCGTCAGCAAAGGTTGTTTCTCCGCTCTTGGATTCGGAATGGGATAAATGAAGTTTTTGTTATTTTCTAAATATCAACTTGTTTTGAGCTTGTGTTTCTTTTTGTACCACCTCACCTTCAAGGTCTGAGAACCTCTATTTTGGACACTTCCCAAAAGATTGATAAATATTTGCAGGATCAAATGACCCTTGAAAAAATTCTGTACATGGGTTCTATTTCCTTGGCTTTGTTTGTTGTTTTAAAGAATTTGGGTGTGGCACTAGGAGTGTTGCTTAAAATGTCACCTCCTCGAGTTCACTATAATTAAGCTATGGTAGATATTTTGCTTTGCTTAAATCCTATCTGTTTAAATCTTTGGGGAAACTCTTGCTTTCATATCAAACATTGTTATGTTTGGATCTTGGATTTATCAAGGAAGAGAGAGGAAAGAAAAATGAAATATATATATTTTTTAATAGCTTTTTTCACTTTTTTTTTTATTGTAAAGTCAAGTTTGGGTTCTAGTTCAAGTGGTCATGAGGAGACACTTGAGTGAGATGAGGTTGTAGACTCGTCAATGTAGTGATGCTGAATTGTAGTATTTAAACTTTACTAACTTATTAACATCTTATTATGTGGTCGAAAAACAAGTTAGTGGAGATCAACAAGTCTTAATATTTTGGATGATCTAAATAAATATTTAGTTCTTGATTTTTTATGAAAAGAAGTGTAAAAAAATAGAACGGTAATGTGACTTAAAAAGGATAAAAGGATAAAAAAAAAATTCTAATATAGGAAATGCCAAATAGTGTTCTTGTTTTAAAAAAATCTCCTTTTCTTATATAGTGGGTGTCTGGGAAGTTGTTAGTTTAGTAGGCTATTTTAGTTTTTAGCTATTTTAGGAGATTAAAATTTGTGTGTTTGGGAAGATAGTAAGATTTTTTTTGTAGTTAAATGTGATGTTTGTAAGATAAAAAGTGAAATGATTATGGGTTTAATGTAATATTTTGTCTTATTAATTATTTTAGTTTATTTTGTCTTTTAGTGCTATTTTAGTCCCAAAAAAAATTAAAAATTACTTCCTAAATACCCCTATAGTACATAAAATTCATTGTCCCCATAAATTGAATCGGCCTGCTCACTTTTGACATGGCATTTCAATTTAAGAATTCTATCATTTTCTTTTTCTTGTGAGGGAAGAAATTAATTATCTTCAAATTAGTTGGTAGAAGTAAGTTGAATATAAGCTTTACTAAGCATACAGCGAAAGATTAGGCTTTCAAGAAAAAGGGAGCAGCTTGTCTCCCGTCTTTAATCGAATTATACGGTGTTATTCAGTTCGTGAGATTCATCACAGGTCTCGTTTTAATAATTCGAATTATTCAATATATAGAACTAGTCGAATACTATATGTTTGTAAAAATTTACGTTGATCGGATATAGGTAGTTGTGTGAGCAAATTAGTTTTGTATATATAAAAAAAAAACAGTAAACAAATTAAACGGTTGACAAAAAACTGATAAAATAAGATAACTATCAATATTCGATTAATGCAATTTTTTATAGATACATATTGATTGGTTTAGATTACAAAAAAAAGACCCGTGGTGAACCCTCACTAGCCGAACAACATCGTCCAGTCCGATTAAGGACTAGAAGCAAGCTGCCCATGCAATTTCAAGGACTCTTACATTCAAGGATTATCATTCTAATGTGAAATCTCATCCGCTATTTAAAGTGATGTCCACGATGAATTTGTAGATTTGGTCCCTCAAACTCTTTGGACGGAAAATCAAGTATTTCAAACCTATGGCCAACAACCCAACACATAAAAGACGACAAGAAGTTTGAGTTATTCCAGGGTTACAAATCGTAAATAGAGCAGTTTCTCACACGCAAAATTGTTGTATATAGGCCAAAAACACACTTAATTTCCCCTCCAAAGAAGAGTTTTGGGAACCAGATTAGCAAATTGTCTAATTGTAGATAGTGGGTGACCACACGAGTCAAATTGATCCCAAGAACAGTTAAGTGTAAAATTGATATAATTAAAAAGGAAAAATCTAATTGATTTTTAAGAAGAAAATAATTGGAGAATAAAATGAATTTGTACATCCCATGAATCAGGTAGGCCACGCAAAACAGTAGAAACTTGCATTTTGTTGACATGCTCCATAACACATTTTCAAAAAACAAGGTTGTTTCTCCAAGCTCGTTAATTAGGCTGGGATACAAAACACACTAAAAAATAAATAAAAAACTATTCAACCCAAACACTGCTAGGTCCACCTTTCATAAATGCCAAATCACAATTACAATGGATTTTGACTGCTCCTTGTAAAAACCATGCCATCAACTCCATCCACAAAAGAGGACACATTTCTCACTTCCAACATAAACTCTTCCTTCACTGGTTGATACAAGAAAACCGCCTGCACTCTGTAGGATACTATTAAGTCATTATCATTCAATAACCAATACAAGAAAACCCACCTGTACTCTGTAGAATAATATATAGCCATTCATTATCATGCAATTTTAACAGTAACTGGCTTTCCCCGACCCATAGAAAACCCTCTAGTCCCATCTGGCATGCGAGGCCCAGGAGGCTGTTGCTTGGCTATGCTGCTTGTCTGCTCTGTATTGACAGAATTATTACTGGAGGGAGGAGTTCCGACATGACTTCCACGGTTATTGTGATGGTGGTATTGAGCTCGTCCACGTCCCTTACCTCGGCCACGACTCCGCCCCTTCTTCTGCCCTCCCTCTTTCTCATTTTGGTGCTCCTCTCCTACCTATCCTCGCAAAGTCAGAAAAATGTGTGAGAGAGAGAGAGAGAGTGAGAAGGAAATGGTTCTTTCGGAAGTTGGGAGAATTGAATTCAAATTATTCCATTCTCATGGTTTTCTGAGTAATGCCTACGGGGAATGCCCACATATTTGCGAAAAAAAATTGTGAGGAAACTTACTGCACACTCGTGTGATTGGTTATCAAATTGTTGAGCAGGATCTTCAAGGTGTTTCTCATTTGGCTGTGGCTGATCTGAAGTAGATGTGTCATCTTCCTCGAAGTGAGCATCACCTTCATGCCCAACTCTCTTCCCTCGTGCTTGAGCAGATTTTGCCTGAGTTGAAGAACACAGACATCAATCAACAAATACCATCAAGTTTGAACAATCAACTGAAACTAGTAAACAACACAAGGAACTTGCTCTATCAAACTAACATAATTGCAACTGCATATAAGAAAACACCTCTTCTTTTTCGTGTGCATGCGAGGAAGACAAGCATGAGAGAGAGAGAGAGAGAGATATTATATCAATTTTGAGATACTTCATATGCTTTCTATTGCATTGATTGTCACAAAAGACTAGGGCATTTGGACCAATGCACTACCCTTGTGTACTGTTTTTAGTTAATCCACCTAAGGAACATATCAATAAGGATTGCAGTCTCAAAATAAATTAGGGAAGAATAATTCTTTGGCAGTTGGAACATACTGTGCGTCTAAGAAGCAAACGGACTCTCAGACCACTCCTCCAGTTCGCCTCATCATTCAGCTCTGCAACCTGTAAAAGAGACAACACATCTTATTTCCTCTGGTGGTCATAACACACATAAAAATAAAACATGAAAATAAGAAAATGACTCCAAACAATAGCAAATAACTGGTACTTACCGCCTTCTCAGCCAGTTCAAGAGATTCATATTCCACAAATGCATGAAGCTACATACAAAACATAGCGTTTGAATATTAGACACTAATAACAAACCTGAAAGCGGACAATGGACAATTAATTAACAATACTAAAAGAACCTATTTCGATTTTCAAGGAATCCAAAGTCCAGATAGCAATCAAACACTATAAACAGTTGAACTTCTAGACTTCTAGTATTGTATTCATTCAGGGCTGGAGATTGTGTAACCAGTCAGAATGAAAAAGGAGCATCAGTGAGCCCATCTGTGGGGGCCTCAGGCCCTCAAGCCCTGAATCCAAGGTGAACCCATGAACCAAAAAACATTAACGCCTTCCAATTACAGGAAGTTAAATTAGCCCACCTTAATTAGTTATGATTTCCATGAAATCTTCAAGCAAATTAACATGATGAGTGAAAAAGGAGAGTAACAAAACAACCAAATATAAAGAAAATTTCAAGAAGAAATATATGTTGAAACGATGGGTCTTAGGAACAAATTTTCAAAACTTGAAATGGAGCCAAACCACAATTCAGCTGCTAATAGGCATCAGGTGGCACTGAAACAAAATGCCAACAGAGAAGCTGCAATAACTATTTGCCACATAATTTTACCTTATTACTGAAAAGCATGCTGTCCGCTTTTATTGATCTATTTGCTGAAGATGCTCCACCATTGGATGTCTGAGGCTGACAGTTACGAATTGTTTTCACACTAGCAAAGAACAATCAATAAACAAATAACCAGAATTAATTATAAACATTTTCTATTAGAAATCTTACATATATACAGTTAAAATGTTTCTGACAAAGATAAATTCTGTACCTTCCCACCGCAGAGAAAATCTTCATGAGGTTCTGGTGGCAATGGTCCTCTGGTAAATTTTCAGCAACAACTATGCGTGACTACAAATTAGAACAAGTATAGAAAAGTAAAAGTCAAAAGATAAATAAGACACTAGGAGTATCTAAGAATCATCCAGTCCAAACAAATATTTGACATTAACAGTCACAACAAGACAATGACAGGAAAAAATGTAATATAAGTTGCTCACAAGTCATAAATTTCCTTTGAACATGGCACAACCAAAGGAGAAAGATGGATATTACAAACCACCACACACAAGTTGATATCACAAACATGTAAGAATAAGCGTAATCAAAACAACAAATGAAACCTACTTGCAACTCTTCCATTTCTGACTCAGTCAAGGGATGGAGGCGCCTGACTTTCTTCCCATCTTCACTAACCACCTGCAGAGTGTAGTATCAAAAAATAGATAAATAAATAAATAAACAATGATAGTAATGATATAGAAAAGGCATCTCTGCCAAACAAGAGGGTATTATAAAAAATTAAAAAAAAAAAAAAAAGCAAGCCTGGATCAAAGAACTCACAAGCTTCGCTGAGTTCTGCAGAATACTAGCAAGCTGAGAATTACTACTTATGAGGGCTTTAATCTTCTTAAAAGATGCAACAATAGATATTGGCACTACACAACACGAGGACAAGACAAATGTTAGAACAATATGGAACATTCATTCTTAAAAAACTATCAACAAAAAAAAGAGAATTGAATACGACTAGGCAATAATTTTAAAGACCTAAAATTAAATTGGAAACTGTCAACATCAATTAGGCAATAATTTTAAAGACCTAAAATTAAATTGGAAACTGTCAACATCAATTTAAGCCCAAAGATCTAGCACAAAATGTCTATTTCTGTACATTTTGAATTCCTAGGAGTGCCTCACTTCTAGTTATGTGTTGTTGGACTATAATTATTTAGTTTGATGTAATTATTCTCATGTTTGTAATTAATCTGCTACTAATTGGGGGAGAAAAGGAAAAAGTTTATAATAGGCATAAAACAATTGTGAAAGCATGAAACACAGAAATCATACCATATCCTTCAGCATCTTTGTTGATAAACCTCATTAGATGATCTGTAGTGGCCAAATTTAGATCACTAAAATAATACTCCACCTACAATGGGTTTAAATTCATATGAGAATAAGAGCAAACTTATAAAGGAGAGGGTTGAAAAAACAGGTTGTTAATTGCGGAGAAGAGGAGGTAAATCTATGATATTCAATATAAAAAAATATATTGACATTTGTAGAAAACACAAATAAACAGACGCAGAAAATTAGCTTACATAATCAAGCAAGTTTTGTATTCTTCCACCAATAAAAAGTTCACAATTCCATGAAATAAGAAATAAGAAATAAAAAATAAAAAAGGAGGTAATTTACAAATTTTCCATACGATATGAGCTTGACTACAACAGAGGAAGCAAAACCATTATTGTTTTTCACTTCAATTACTTAGGTCAGTTTCCACAAACCACAATGAGCTGCACAAGCCCCTCTGCTCATGTCCCCAACACCACAAATGAATCCTCTATACAGTCTGCACTTATGATATGAAAAATAAATAGTTTAATATTTAAAAATTTCAAGGTTATCTGCGGAGAGAGTTTAATGTCACAACATATGCTAACAATGCTAGATATATACAACAAAGCGCAAAATCAAACCGGAAAAGATATTAAACACCCACGAACAACATAGTGAAATCTAAATGTGAGAAATTATATAAATTTAAGGAAGCAACGTAGAGTTTGGAATGTGATGTTAATAACATGTGGAAAAGATATTAAACACCCACGAACAACATAGTGAAATCTAAATGTGAGAAATTATATACATTTAAGGACAAAAATTTAAGGAAGCAACGTAGAGTTTGGAATGTGATGCTAATAACATGCGGAATATAATGACGGAATGCATTAAAAGAATATCAAAAGAAATCCTGGAAGAGTCAAAAGGAAAATGCCCTAAATCCAAAGATACTTGGTGGTGGAATAATGAGATGCAAGCCGTAGTAAAAAAAAAATTAGTGTTTTGAAAAGTGACAAAAGGATAAAAATGAGAATTCTTTTAAGAGATATATAAGTTGGCTATTAATGAGGTTAAAAGGACAATTAGAGATGCTAAGTGAAAAGCCTACAACGATCTTTATATTAAATTAGATAGTAAACAAAGGGGAAAAAAATACAAAAGAAAGAAAAATAAGAGATTCTGAAAAGTGAGGATTTGAGAGTGTTAACAAAAGATAAAGAGATTAGGGAAAGGTGAAAAAGTTATTTTGAAAAACTATAAAATGAAAAACAATTAGAAAACTTAAGAAGAGATGAATATAATAACATTTAATGTCGCAAGAGCCAAGGTTTGAAGCCCTCTCTTCTTTTTCTTTTCTTTTCTTTTCTTTTTTTTTTTTAATAAAGAAAAAAAAAGGATAAAATGAAGAACTTCATTTCATTAGAATGGCTACAATACAGATTTGAAAATAACATATTGAAAGTGGGGTCCCATTATTTTACATAAAACAAACTTTTTTTTTTTTTTTTGTAATATTGATATTGACAACCTTAGAAACTATATTGCTTGATTAAATAAGAGGTGAAATTTAAATGACACAACCCTATCATTGAAATTTAAATAATTTTTTTCTTTTGTGTAATAATTAATTAAATCTCACTAGTCTGACATGAAATTCCAACTATTACTATTTGGTGGAATATGGTCTAAATCGGGCAAATTTTAGGTCATAAATTCATTCAAGATGGTTAATTAATTCAATCTATTTTCTTGTTGGAACCAAAAATAGTGTAAAATTTGATTGAATGTTTAGTGCAAATTTATGTGGTAGAGTTAGAAAGCCTGAATTTATTCAGTTCATTTTTTTTATTATATACACTTACAACTTCTATATTTACCAGAAATTCACATTATTATATTATATTATATATATATCTATATGAGTCCAATTAACATAAGTACTAACTACATGATTTTTTTCAAAAACATAAATTTTGATCCAAATTGAATAAGTACTCTAACTGTGTTGATTTTCTCCTCAAATATAATTTTTGTTAGCATTTTTAATACTACATTTAAAAACACGGGTTTTTGATCTTTTAAATAGTTATAAGACTTTTTGGATTTGTAAAATATTTTTGGGACTTAATGGATACAAAGTTCAATATATAGGATTTTTCACTAAAAATTCCTATAATGAAACCTAATAAATTACAATAATAATGAACATCAAATATAACATGTAATTAATATAAATAAATTTCAAAGTGGACGGGAGAAATCCCAATAAATATGAATAAGACTCGGACAGGTGAAGAGATTCGAACCACTAATGTCCTAAACAAGTATAGAGTTTCTAGTTAAATAAGCTAACTTTGTTGGTCAGAAATGTTTTTGCATAATTTTTACACACTTCATATGGAATTATAGGATGAAGAAGATACTTGATATTGCCAATGGAGCAACAATATTTCAGATAAGCAACATCCAAAACTTGCATGATCCAACAAATTAGTGAAACAAGCAGCTCAGACTATTTATCTGCATTCTAACTTGCTATGGTTAAAGGCTTCTAGACAAGCAAAAAAGAGAGTTTCAAAACTCACTGTCTATTCCCATTTCCCAGGGTGTTTGAATATCTAACGTTTTCATTTACTATGTTCTATCATTTGCAGAACACCTTCACGTATATTTGTTACCTGTATATTTTCATTCACATGCACTTGAATACATGATTAACACCCTTTGCCTTTTTCATCATAATAGAGGTGTTGCTTTGTTAGTGGAAGCTACAGATCCGCACAATATGAACTGTGTTGCCGGCTGAGAGTTGAGGTTAGGCTTGCTGTGCATGATGTTTCAACTAATACATATGAAGCATTATATATTTAGTTATGACTAAAAGTAAAATATATTATGCCATTTGTGGTAAATGACAGAACTTGCATATGTACACACCCTAAAAAGGGATGTGCATTGTAGGATGACCACATATATATACACACACAAAACAAGAAGACTGTATGGGCCATTCAACTATTTTCTTTCTTTTGCTTACCTCCACTCTACTTTAACTTTATTAGATTTCTTCCCCTACCCCATCCACTTTCTATATTCTTCATCTTTGTTAATATGACATATATAGTGCCCTAGAGAAGTCAAATTCATGTATACTAATATACATGAAATATATACTGTGTCAAATAAGTTGTTGTCTTGTGTAGTGGTAGTTTCTGGACATCATGTTCTGAATTAAAATTAAGTTTGACTAAAAAACTAAGTGAGTTTGAGGTGTAATTTACACTGAGAAAGATGAACTGAGGAAGATGAAACACAGTAAGGCATTAGGAACAAATTGCATCACAATTGAGGTTTGAAAATGTTTAGCAAAATTGTAATTGTATCACGATTTTGTTTTTAACAAAATTGTTTAACAAGATTCAAATAACTAAGAAAATGCTGGACAAGTAGAGAAAAAGAATTTTAGTACCATATATACAAATATCCAGAATTTCAACTAGAACTATGGAGGCATTCAGCTAATGGAACATACAATGAAATTATGAGTGTGATTGAGCATCACTCAAGGGTTATTACAGCAATAGTGTCATTACAACAATAGTGTCAAGGAAGTAATTTGGATTTATGCCAAGTAGATCAACTATACAAATGATATATTTACTAAGAAGATTAATAGAAAGGTACAAAGAAAAAAAGGAGGATCTACATATATATATTTTTTTATATAGATTTAGAAGGAAAAAAAACTTATGATAGGCATTGTTATCAAAATCACAATCCAGATCGTAAGAACGTAAATGATCCAAATCGTTGTGGGATCAGTGATATAGCAAGATCGCAAGTAGGATCGTGTGGGATTGTATGTATGATCGTAAGTAGGATTGCAAGTAAGATCGTGTGGGGTTGTATGTATGACCTTAAGTAGGATCGCTGAGTTTGTAATTTTTCACTTCATTTTAAACCATCCTTATTTGTGTTTTTACTTTATTTTTAATAGAAAGTAAAATTTTACAATCCTCGATCTGATCTTACGATCCAGTCCATGAGATCCTCTCACCAATCCTACATAGAATCCGATTTTAATAACCTTGATGATAGGGTGCCTAGACATATACTATGATCAGCAATCCTAAGACAAAATATTTGCAAACAAGTCCCCATTATCAGTGAAATAATCCACACAATATATGCAGGTCTTATGTAAATGCATGAAATTCATCAAATGTCAAGAAACCCATAAAAATTACTGAACTAGTTTACCAAAAACACGTTAATCGAAGCACAGGAAAGAAGTATCAAATAATTAATCCTTATAGGAGTTTGCCTGATTGAGAATCTTCTGATTAGCTTCCTCAGATAGACCATTTTTCAATGGAGGCGCATGATCGGGCTCAACAGGACCTGATTGCTGAGCTTGCACAGAAACCTCCTGATTATCAACAAACCCAACTCCATAGTACTGAGGACGATGCTGATGGTGATGATGGTGGTGATGATGAGGACGATACTGAACCGGAACATGATGAGGATACTGAACCGGCACCGCAATCGGGACATGGAAAGCAGGGTTGGGACCAGGATACACGTGGACCAATCCGGGAGGGGGAGGCGGAGGAGGAGCGATCCTGGGCTGGGACTGAGTCACATCGGTGGTCCGAGGCGAAGAAGAAGAGGAGGAAGAAGATGAGTTGCTGCGAGGGACGAACTCGGGTGCTTTGGCGTTGAGTCGACTGAAAGATGAGTTTCGAGAGAGAGATGGATCTGACGGCAATGGTGAGTCTGAGGAGGTTGTAGTTGCAGATTGATGAAGATCGGGGACGATGATGCGATCGGGGAGGGGGTCAGACGAATCTAGGGTTTCTGATACTGAATTTGACGAGTCTTGGGCCATGGTGAATTTTTTTTTTATTCTTTTTATTTTTTTTTTAGGGTTTTGTTCTACTTCTGCAAAAAAGGGGATTTAGGGTTTTGGAGGGGTATGGTGTGTGTCTCCTCTGGAGAGAGCAAGCAAGCAAGCGAAGCGAAAGAGAGAGCCCCTGGGGGAGGAGAGACAATGGAGAGGGATTCTCGGTTTGAGGACTGTACCGGGCTCCCACTTTATACTTGCCCTATGGTGATCATGTGATGTGGATGTCTACTGTATTTGACATCTCCATTCCCAACTTTTTTTTGTACCTTTTTTTTTGACATTAAATTTATATTTGATAAAAGTAGGTTGAAAAATTATTCAAATTCATTCATTAAATGTCTATCAAATAAATTAAGAATTTTTTTTTTACCAACTTATATAAAATTGATGAAATTTAAAATAAAATAAAATAATATTGGAGATTATTTTTTTGATTAAATTTAATGAAATGATAAATTTGGAATATGAGAGTAATTTTTTTATAAAAAAAAAAAAATTGATAAAAGAGTTTAAAGTAATTCATATTAAATCAAATTTTTTACTCAAATTTAAAATCAAAGACATGTATAGAGTTAGACAAGAACAATTCTCTTAATCAAGGACACACGTTCGGATGATTTTGAATATGATCAAGAAGTTGCAGTGAACACTCTTAATCACATAGATTCAAATAATGTATTTGACAAGAATCTTAACTCGATACACAAATCAAGATTGACCGGTCATACTCCATCTGTCGTGACTCTTCATATCCATTTTGTTTAGGAAGATACATGTGCTACATGAGGCGATATAAGGATTTGATGCTTTTCAATTCAAGATGGTGACAATTGTATTACACCATCTCAAGGTAATTATAGTTGGTCAAGTTTGAATTTTAACAAGAAGTTGAACATCAAAGTACCTAGGAGTAAGAAAAAACAAGTGACCATTGGAAGACATTCTCTTCTCATTGATTCTAGGTTACATGAGACTCTAAAAACTGGCAACAAAATTGAATTTTTCCACCGCCCTAGTTTGTCAGTTGCTAAGATTCAAGTGAACCAGATTTACCAAACTATGGAGGCTGACATGGGTATTTAGCATCATGAAAATTTAAGTAATCCCAAAAGGGTTACCCTTCAATCCAACCCAAAGATAAGTTCTACTGGTAACTCTTCTAAATCCCGTAGCCCAAAGGTTGTTTTGGGTGGACAAACTTGCCAGCCTATCGGGGATGTCCCAAGGCCAGATCCATTTGTCTAATGTTCTCTTGTGCAAGTCAATAAGTTGTCCAAACGTTATGTGAAGCGAGTAATGTCATACAATGAGGGTGGTTCTAAGAGAATCCAAGCGTGTCCGTCTAAAATCAACAATTGCTTTACACTGAGTGCTAATCAATCCTTTTAAGACAATGATTACAAAAAATGAAAAAGAGAGAATGGTATCGAAGATAGCTAGATAGACCTAAGCCTTTTCCGAGTTGCTTAGGTCTTTTTCGAGTCCCCCTCAAGCAACGTGCTCCATTGGTGACTTAACCTTTGAGATATGGTCTTTTATTGTAATGTGTCCACTATGCTGGTGCTTATAAATGTCGATGGAAACTCTTCTTTGGATGTTCGTGGCCCTCATTGTTTTTGCAATTTGTTAGTTTGATAGTGTTTTATTTTAGTCTTATGCCGTTGTTTGGTGTCTTTTCCTTTCAATGAATTGTGCTTCTTTCTTGTTAATGAAGTTATCACTATTTCTACAAAAAACTCCCGTTGTTTGGTGTCTTCTCCTTTCAATGAATTGTGTATCTTTCTTGTTAATGAAGTTATCACTATTTCTAAAAAACACTCCCCCTCTTATTAATATGACAATTGCCATTGCCTCGTAAAGTTGCTTTTGCCCTTTCAGCCTTCAAAGTAAAAAAAAAAAAAAAAAAAACTGCATCAAATAACTTACCAAAATAACTTCGTTTCACATAGTACAAGTCCATCGAGAAAGGAAAATGTCTCGTAACTCAAATTTTGTGGCTCAAAAATGGCTCAAATGGCCAAAACGACGTCGTTTTGGCTATTTTTATGTTGTTCTGTACTCAAAACCACGTCGTTTTGGCCATTTGAGCCACTTTTGAGCCACTAAATTTGAACTACGTAGCATTGTCAATAGAGAAATTATGGTTTCAGCCAACGATATCAATGAAAAATCCTAAGTTGAAGTCACGGGTTGAACACACTTCGTTGAAAACTCTCAAATGAAATCATGCATTCAACCAAAGAATTCACATTATTAAAATTTAAAAAAAAAAAAAAACCCTAAATTATTGCCAAGATAGACAATGAGGAAATACTGATAGATAATGAGAAAGTACTTAGAGGTGGAGTCATTTTCTAGGATATGAGATCTCAAAACATATTTATCACCACCAAGGCTTTTCTAATAGATAGAAGATAAATAATATAGACACAGATGCATCCATCTCTCTCTCTCTCTCACCCTCACTTCATTCCATCAAATGTAATAAACTACACTGGAGAGTTTTATGCATATCAACATATTATAGGATTATTAACAATTCTAAAAAGGACAATGTTTTGTTTTCTCTGTCAACTGGAGAGAGAGAGAGAGAGAGAGAGAGAGAGATCAAAGAAAAGGAAAAGGAAAAGGAATACTTCTCTTTCACTTTCTTCGATCCATTTAGGATAAAATCTTTGTAAGAAAACATGCCATCATCACCCGTAAATTAGCCCAGAATTGTGATGCATTGTTGCAGGGAGAAAAAGGTCAAAACAAACTAAAAAACCAGCAAATATCTGAAAAAGAAGAAAAATCTATCAACTGAGTTCCAATAGCTTCATTGACTTCAGAACTCAAGATTACATTCCGAAAACAAATGTTTTAACTAAAGACTTCTTTCTTTTATTCGTTCACTAACCCACAAACTGATGAGAGTAAAGAAGAGGTTTGTGTTGCTTATTTAACTCTTTTTTGACTTGTACTTGCTCAGAATAGCTTCCCAAAAGGCAGGTATTGCAACATTATCAGGAACTTCCTTGAATGATGGGAGGTAGTTCACATCCACAATGACATGGTCGCCCGTGTTTTCCTGAATCTGAAAATTCCACATATTGGTTCAGAAAAAAATAAGAGTGGAAAAAGGGATGTGACGGGGGTTTACTGAAGCAATCAAATAGTCCATCAAATAAATGCTCAGAACAAGTTGCCCAAAGTATATTTGTACACATACACCAACATATGACATCAGCATGTAATTAAATGCTTCTGAAAAACAGAGATACCATAGTAAAACGTAAGATAAAAAAAGCTCATTTTTTTGTAGATGGTAATTGGTTTAACTTCATACCACATACAAAGGCATTGCCAAGATATAATCTGTGATTTACCTGATTTATCAAAAATAAGTAAATATAAAAAATAATCTGTGATTTACTGCATTTTATCACCTCTTTGACTATAAAGCGCCTGGTATTCAATCAGAACTTACAGAATCCGGAAATTAAGTGTAAAGCATATAATAGCAAGCTTCATGTTAGTTTTTGTGATAATCCACTAGAGAAAAAAGGAAGGACCCATATATATATATATACACTTCACCTGAAAGAAAAAAGGAAAAAATGAATAGATCAAGCCTAATATATAATAAAATTAACACTCTACTTCCACCTTTGTTGTGTAAATTATCTTATCTTTCACAGCAGTAGACCTCAGGCAAGGGAGGACTATTGTGGCATTTACAGGTCAAGGTAAAACAATCACATCTTTGTAATTGCCCTTCAATCCTATTGCATTGTGCATATAATTCACAATTAAGGCTCCCATGCTCCCTCTCAAGGCTCTAGTCACTTACCATCTAAGTGAATCACATCTTAGTGAATCACGGTGAACAATGTCTCTAAAAGTTCCATCAACTATCATTTTTTAGCACCACATAAAGATTTTGCAATGTCCAAAGTTCATATCATAGTGTAATTGATTGTCCCTTTTACATGACCAGTTTCATCTTTTTCTTGACCTTTTCATTTATTCTTTTTCAGTTCTAAAATTTTCTTCATCTGTAAATTTTCTATGTCCTTCATGACATAAGTCATTGTTATTATTCAAAATAATTTACACAAAACCTAACTCAGTGTTTCTCATGATTTTATTATGCTGAAATTCAAACTGCTATAAATAGTTGTTTAAAGAAAAAAACTGTTTACTCACAACAACATCGAAACCAAAGATGGTAAGGTCAAGCATTCTCCTAAGCCAGCATGCAGCATCAGTCACTAGCTCAAGATCGATTTGCTGATGATCAGCCGTCAGCTGCTTTTCTTTAGCAGTAGGTAGAGATTTTAGGCTGCAGATAAACCATTGGGGGTAGTCAAGACGTGCTATAAACATAAATTAAGAAAACCAAATGAGTAGGCAAGAGAATAAAGCTCAAGGAAAAACAAGCATATGGTACCTGTCAAAGAGTAAAGGCTTGAGTCCATTTTTCTCAGACAGTTTTATCAAGCTTTCTGCATTAGGTGTAGATTTCTTAACTGCATGGAAAACTTTATCGCCCAAGACATAGAATTTGAACAGAGTAGAAGTGTGATCTACATATTCCTGCATTTCCAGTTATTTTCATCATTCATTCCAAAACAGAGACCGATGACAGTCAGTGATAACACAAATCCCTACATGCCAAGTATGATATCATACACAGACACCTTTGACAACTATGCTCAGGCACAAACACGTGTCTGTAGCCAGCACCCATAATACATTAAAATTTTCAGCGTAGCAGTGTCAGGCAAAATTCCTGGGACAGGATTCCAATTTGTTCATCATGTTAGTTGCACTGAAAAATGTGACCATGTTTCACAACAATAACAGGTTAAAACTTGTTTTACCTGTTTTCTAACCAGAAAATATAGGGAGGATGGTTTTGAGACAGAAGTTTACAGAGGCCAATCTCCAACAAACAAAGAAAATGGGGAAAAAATACTTTTAATGAATTAAAACATTTGATCTGTTCAATGTCTGCATACACATGAATCAAAATCTGCTAAAACCTTTAAGCTACACTATAAAGCTTGAAGAATTATTCGTTCATAATTTCTGTTATAACTCATTAAGCTTTCAGCATCCTAGCTTCGTCAAACAATATGCTTCAAATAAATTAAATAAGACATTAATAAGAGTATGCTTCAATATTGATTGGGATGAATAATTTAGCTCTCAGGAAGGTAAGAGACAATGATCAAAATTTGTTTCAGTATGTAGTTTTGATTAGCTTGGGAACAAAAACATTTTGGAAACATTTTAGAACCTTTCCAAAAAAAAAAATTAAGGAAAATGAGAAAAAAATGGAAACATGGAAATGTTTGGAAACAAAACCTAAAGCCTAATGTAAATACATTCTCAATGCTTAAAATACTTGAGCATCTTGAGGTATTTGAATATTAGAAACTCATAAATAAAAGTTTAAAAGTTTACCAATCTAAGAAAAAAATATGACAAATAAAAAAGTTCTAGTAGCAGGACAAAAAACAAAAAAAAGAAAAAGAAAAAAAGAAATGATTTTAGTTTTGCTTCTTTATCTTCTCCTTTCTAGTTACATTGAAGCAAACTTCTACTGTAGCTCTTCCAGACACATTGTGGACCAAAAAAGCAGTGATATTTGTTCAAGACAAAGGGCCCATTTAGAGAATGACGAGCCTTCAACTCTTGATCCTGTGGTTAGTGATTCAGCCACCAATCACCAGATCACTACTAAACACATTATATTAAACCATCATCACCATCAAAGCAGAAATTTCTTGCTCACCTGCACAACAACTGGAAGGGGAACACTCAAACCATTGAAATCTTCAGCTCTAAAGACAATTGCCTGTCCATTGCAGATAGAATTTTTTTATCAGAAATAAACAAATGAATCAAGAATTTGATATTGCTACAGCTAACATCTCCTGCATACATAGAACCAGAAACGATGTCTTGAGATTAAAACCAAGGGATTAACATAGTAAATGTAGCTAGGGAAGCCCCATGCGATTGAGCTAATTGGTTGCTTAGGTGCTTGCTGAGCAAACAGAAAGCAATTTGAAAACTTTCCCTTTCTGATTAGGAGAGGATTTTTTGGGTAAAAGGGAAGTAAATATTTTCTTTTGGAATGGCATGATGCGCATCAAACATCAATACCCACATCCGTGGCAAACAAATTGCACACTCAACTCAAGCAAAGAAAAAAAAAGACAAAATCAAGCACCAGCTGACAGGCCTGAAATTTGTCACACTTTTTAATAACTAGGGTCCGGTGTATAGTTTAAAAAACAAGTAAACATAAAAATAGGATTCACTAACAACTTGAACTTGAAATGAGAAAAGAGAACCTTTCAAACTAAAATGGGCGGGGTTATATCTCATGTAATATTTGACTCTTTTTTCTTATTTTTTTTATTAATAAACATATTATGTTTTTCATTCACCGAAGTTGGCAATTTAAAGAGGTCGCTGAAATCAAGTTAAGATACTTGTCAGAAGTTTCAAGGTCTAATTAATTTCAGACGGAGATACCTATGCCCTGTTGGACTAATGTTGCCCTTACAACATGTTACCTTCCAAATTTTATACCTCCTTTAGTACTTGGGTGGTCAAATTCCACATGCTGTGTGATTTCTTGATAAGCCCATGATGTCCTTACCTCCTAAGGTTGTTAGCAATTGTTTAGCTCCAGGAAACAGCTTTGGCATCCTGGTGATGTCTAGAAATATCCTCAACAAGAGGACAAGCAATCAAAAGCTGAGCTTATGTTTGTAAAAGATTGGCCGTGATGCAAAATCAATAAGGGGGATTTACAAGTAAAGGGGCGTCAAGCAATAACAGTCGAAATGCATCTTGTTGAATAATATTAATCTGCTCAAGACCTAGTACAAATATATTGATCCAAATACAAGAGTTTTACCTATCAAAATATTAAAGCCAAACCTTGTTTAAGCAACCAAGTGCATAAAATTTTAATGATCTGAAAATAATCAGATAAAAATTGTACACGAGCTCAATCAGATTTAGAAAGAAATCCTCACTAGTGAAGCAAATAAAATATTTGTGCCATTTCAAATATCCAACTAGTTTTAACCAATGCCACCACAAAAACGCAGATCTTGTAATATAGAACTAAGAAATTGCTGAAATAAAATAAATGATTACCATGCTGTGCGCATCAGCAACACCACAAGCAACTTGAGGTTTCACAATACTAGGTAGAGTTAGTTTAGCTTCTAATAGCCTATGCACCAAATTTGGTTCGCTGAAATTGTCAACCTGCACAGTTATCAATCTTAATTCAACTTAACGGCACAGCTAGTAGATTTGTAAAAGTAGCCCTACAAGAGACAATTCTGCACATCAGAACTATTAACAATTAATAAATTGTCTGGGTTGCTTTTATCAACTTCTGAAATTAAGTATTGAGCATAAATTTAAGCCACGCTGGCAACAAAAGACCTTGAGAAAATGGGGGGCCCTAATTTTACAGCGACCTTCCACGTTGAGATTTTCCAAACCAAGCAGAATCTGTTGGATTTTTAATCGATCCAATACAGCATAAATGTTATCAAGTGGATCAATCATACATATATCTGACTTGTGTTTGATATACCTGAACAAGAAGCAAAACATAGTAAAAGGGATCTTAGTGAAACATATGTAAAATTTATATAGTGGACTCTCAGAAACCTAAAATCATTTCAACTGAACCACAGTAAGGCAATGCTGCTACAAATTTTGCCATGGAAGTTGACAAAATTTGTTAATCTGGTTAGACAGCTATTGGTTGGACAACCAAAAATCTCAAAACATACAAGACACAGAAACAGAAGTGAAAAACATACAGTAAAACAATAGCAGTACAAAATCATTGTGGATTTTTCTGATTCCTTCGTGTGAGTTATACACATGGCTGATGACGTGTTGTGTAAACGTGATACTAAAGATTTATATCTAACATGTCTGAGTGATTTACTTTAGAAAAAAGAAAAAAAGAATTCCTAGTTAATATAAAATCCACACATTCAATTTCCCTGACATAAAAGATCAAAACGCAGCACCGACCATGCATATTTCATGCCTCCTATAGGTTTCTACAATTGTGCTTTTGGTTTTAAGGTTTTGTGCCTTGATGCCTGTTTCCCTGAATATTTTGTCTCTTTTATTTAAAGACAAACTATTAGTTCCTTCCTAGATGAATTGAATGTAATATTAATTATATCAGAAAAAGAGCCCTGTACAATTCATTTTGTTCACCTCTAAAAGAAACTAACAGAACACTCACTGTTAGATGGCATTACACTGAGTATGCACGATTACATACAACCCAAGGTTTGAAAGTTCTCTACAAAGTTGAATTCTGATAGCTTCCAAAATTCAAAATCTCAAAATAAAATTTGGATCTGCTATGAAACTAGCAAAACGCTTGCCAACAAGTTTTGGGAACTAACAGAAACACTGGCAAATTTATTTCTATGCAACCCCCAAAAAAGAACAAAGGACATTATCCAGTGTTCGTTCCCCACTAACTGAGGGTGTTGGGATGGGTAAGACTGGAGATTTAGACCTACCTACCCTTTGGCATTATTAGCCGAAAGTGGCTCCTTTCAGGTATGAACCAGTGTTCCGCAGCTTGAGTTTTTACCATTGCACCAAGCAATGCTCCTAGACCACCCAAAAAATAAAAATAAAAAATAAAAAAAAACTTCACTATAGGCCAGACATCAGCCATTAAAATCTAGTAATCTAATACCTTTGCACATTACCATTACTTTTGATATGCTTAATAAGATTCAAATGACATATTAACATCCAAAAATTTCTCAATAAAACATTGGGTTTCATTTTGGCCCCAAAACAAATTGTAGCCATGGGGCCACCATACGGCCATCGTGGTCGTGGCATAATTCCCAAAAGGAAAGTAATGCTACCAGATTGGCTATGACAGCATTCCTGAAATCAAAATGTCAATCTTACTGTCCACCAATATCTATAAAGAATAATTTTCTAGAATTTGAAACTTACCTTTCCAATTCGTGCATGCCTGTTGTATAAGTAATTTTATCAAAGCATTCCGAGGAAGTGCTCATTTCGATGGAGACAATCTCATCAGTTGCCTTATGGAGAACTATGTCAATTTCTTGTAATTGAGATGATAAAGGAAGCTCAAATGTAATGGGCATAAAAATCAACCCATTTTGAGTAGGATTTAAGGGGAATGAGCCTCTCTGCCACAATCAAAGATACAAAAAATATAAGGTGTAAGGAACATAAACTCGTGAGCCCAATCTACAAATGAATCAAGGCCATGGAATTGTGACATGGTACTCCATCGATCTATCACATTCTTGGCCAAACAAATTACAACAATTGAATAAATTAAGTACTTTCCACAGGGTACAAAACAAAAGTATGGCATTCTGACGCTATAATGGATCATGCAGGACTTTTCAACCAAACAATATCAAGCAATGGCATGCATATAGTATGCTAATAAGACCATCTTGTATTTAATTCCATTAACATTTTTTTTCCTTTTTTTTTCCCCTTTACCCTCGGGCCCACAATGTTCACCTACTCTCATTTTACATTGAGTGCTTACCTTTGCAAAATCTTCTTCACGAGAAGGCTTCATGATATAACCAACCGTCACATTGTCATTCCCCATTGCCTGTTTGAGTATGCAGTAGAAAAAAATTGAAAATAAAGGAAAAAATAAAATTTTCATTAAAAAGTGAATCAATATCCCATATTAAATCACAAAAACAATAAAAAAGTAGAAAAAGAAAATGATTTTTTTAAAAAACCGATTCTATGTAAGAGGATATGTCATGATATACAAGAAAAAGACCCTAAATAGTTTTGGAAGTGAAGAAAAACTCTTGCATAAAACCACTTGGTATTCAACCTTGTCCTTCTGTCACTAATTTATAAATGTAGCATCTTGCACACCAATAACCAATAGAAAACTTTTCACTAAGCCCAAGGTCAACCTATCTCCTTTGGGCTTTCAAACATCAACCCTATTTCATGAAAGCAGTAGTGTTAATTCTGGGGAATCTTGTCCTTTTAGTGTAATGAAGAGGGAGATGTTAGTAGATGTCTTGAGGAAAAGAGACCATTTTTGGAAGAGGTTGACTGTGAGGCAGAGACGAGGACTATGGGTTTAAGGGATAATCTGGATTTCGAAACTGTAGGTGAGTCAGTTGAACAGGTAATAGATGGCGGGGCCTTGTTGAGATGGAAGACGGTAAAGCAGGCATAGGTTGAGCAGATGGTGGTGATTATGGAGATGGGGAGCATTTGGATACTAAGTGGAGGGTTCCAGTGAAAATTAAATGGGTGGTTAGTGATCAGACGAAGATTGAGGCAAATGGCAACTTTTTAAGGTGGATGACTATGAGGGGAAAAAAGAGTTCTTGAGGGGAGTTTAGGGATTCAGTAGAGGTGGATTTAAAGGATAATAGTAGGGGTATAGAAGAAGATGAAATGCGTGGCGATTAGCAGAGGAATCAAGGATGATAGGGACTACGATGTATTTTAGTTGAAGGGTCAGGCAGTGGCGCAGTAGAGGAGGCTGTAGTTTAGTTAAAGTGATTCCATTCAGGATTCTCAAAAGTAGGATTCGATTCACGATACAATTTTTTATTTGACGACTATTCACATCCCGATATCGAAGTATGAGATCAAGAATAACAATTAACAACCTTTCTATTCAAGTGAAAAACAGTTAAAGGCAACTCCTCTAGTTTGTGAATGTAAATCGTGCTTGAATTATCACTTGAACCACCACCTTCAATGTCTGAAAGGAAAGGAGAAGTAGTTTTAGTATAGAATTAAACTTCAAGTGCTTAGCTAAGTCAAGGACTCAAGAAAGCCCTGTCATGTTTTTCCCAACAAATTAGGGTATAATTGGAGGCAATATAACATATGAAATCCACCACAGAATAAGCAATACAGCTGGAACAAGATATAAAAGTAGCATTTAATGAATGGAAGGGAATAATGCATACCATCAGCTAATCCTTGCCCGGGAGATCTTGCATATTAAAAAAATAAAAGAAGGCCAATTATATGAATTCAGGCATATCTTTTTTTACAGATAGAAGCCGCATGTTTCACAAACCAAGCTATGATCACCCAGGCAGGTCAAGAACTTAATAGGTGCAATCCCAAGAAAGCTCCATTCTATGGCAGATTGGTACTTGTACATGTGCAACAAGTACATCATTACACCAGTGTTGTGTCTATAAATTCACTTAGAATAGAATTACCTCTCAAGTTCAACTTCTTATGAAAAAGAATTGAGATAAAAAGGTTTTAATCAACACCAACAAAATGATTGTAGGCATTAGATCATAAGAGATGGCACATCCCTAAAATAAATCTAAGAACTTGAAAGTACAGAAATCCAAACATAACACAAAAGCATCCAACAGAACAGACCTTTGGGATGGAATCAACATGTGGCTCATCATCTATCTTTGCAAGTGAGATAGTTACATTAATAAGTTCTCAATTTGCTCTACAAGGCTCAACTTACATGTACTAACATTTAGTGGGCATCTGGGAAGTTGCTATTTTAGCAGGCTATTTTAGTTTTTGACTATTTTAGTAGGCTAAATTTTGTGTTTGGAAAGATGATTGGATTTTTTTATAGTTGAATGCGATATTTGTGAGAGAAAAAGTGAAATGATTATAAGTTTAATGTAACATTTTGTCTTATTGGCCATTTTAGCCTATTTGGTCTTTTAGTGTTATTTTAGCCAAAAAAAACTAAAAAGCCTTCTTCCCAAACACCCCCTAAGGATTTCTCTTGGTTATTTAAGGCCCCGTTTAGTAGAACTGTGGAAAAGTGATTATAAATTATAGCCTATACCTTATAGCTGTGAACATAAGTTGTTAACCTGGTGCAGCAGTGGGATTATGAATTTAAATAGCAGGGTAGTGTTTGGTTGATAAGCAGTAAAATAACTTTTTGCTGTGTAATTGTTCTTTTTGCCCTTATATGATATAAAAATGATTATTTTGTCATTTTTTTCAATTTTAATTTTAAAAAAATTATTTCATTAATAAAAATTAATATAATTAGTATTACAAAAATTATTATTTTCATGAACAGTATCAATTAGTATAAAATTATTTCATTTTTTCATTATCAATTAATTAGTGTAAATTAATGGCTTAATTAGCATCAATTAATACTAAAATTATTAATTAGTATCAATTAATATAAAATTTATTAACGGCTAAATTTATTTCATTTTTTTTATTTCATTTAATAAAAATTATTTCATTTTTTTTTTATTAATATCAATTAGCAACAATTGTTTTTTATTTATTTATTACAATACCAAAAAATTTTATATCAATATAAAATTCTTTTAATAGAAGTTATTTAATTGAAATAAATTTATATCAATATTAATTGAAATAAATTGTGCAATTTATTTCTTTATTTAAATTGTGCAATTTATATCAATATTAATTGTGAAATAAATTGTGCAATTTATTTAATGGATATAAATTGCAAAACCCTAGCCACCGGTGGTGGTCTTCAAGATCGTCACACCGTTGATCGTCATCATCATCATCACCATTTTCAAATCGTGATGTGGTTTCAGATCATGAGAGAGAGAGAGAGAAGCTCAGCAATGGCAACACGATGGCGAAAGCAGCAATGGGTTGCTATGACGTTGATCGTCTAGAAAGCATGGATACGAATACGAGGTGCGAATACGATACAATACGATACGGATACGGCGATATAGCAAAACCTAAAAAAGTAGGATAAGGGTATGACTATGATACGTTTGTAAAAAATTAAAAAATAAATAAATTATTAGCAGTGAGTTACACATAAACTCAAGAATGTTAAGAAATTACAGTAACTTTATAATGCAAAATACTAATCTTTAAGAATTAAGTAATTTAAGGCAGTAGCTAGTTTAGTTTTTAAATTTTCAATAGGTCATACAAATATCTCATTTCAATATCAAGTCTAATATGTTGATGTTATAATATCAAAACAATCCACAACTTGACCAAATGTTTTTTCCTTTTGCACTAGTCAAAAATATTGGATGCAAGTTTATTTGCTTATTTATTTATTGATATTTGATTTTACTATTGTTATGTTATCTTATTAATCCTTACTTCTATATAATTATAGGGGACATGCATGGTATAATGAAGATATGTCAATTTGATGAATTCTATTACTTTAGCTTACTATGTTATTTTTATAAAAAAACTAAGCAAAGTATTGTAAAAATATTCTATTTATCCTCGCAATTATATTATATTATGAAGTTATGCTAGAAATGATACAATTCTAATTTCGTAAAAGGAGTAATATGTGACTTAGAGCATTTGATATTTCAAAATTAATTAAGAAGTATCTGATAATATGTGACTTGGAGCATCCAATACTTCAAAACTAAGTATCTGATACTTCAAAATTAATGAAAAATTAATTAAGAAGTATCCGATACTTTTAATAAGTATCTGATACGTATTTGTAAGTATCCACAAAGTATCGATATCCGATACAGATACGATACGGATACGTTTTTCTATTTGAAGTATCCGTGCTTCATAGTTGATCGTTGATCGTCACCGTTGAAGGCACAACGGCGATGGGGGATGACGACGGACGGTTGATCGTTACCGTCGATCGTCACGCAGTCAATCGTGACTCTAGGATTTTAGATCGCGATGGTTAGGGTTTCGCCCCTCAGATCACAGACACGGAAGCTCGATCGCGAAGAGAGAGAGGGAGAAGAGAGCTTTAGTTAGTGAGTGTGAGAGAGAGGGAGAGCACTGGAGAGAGAGAGAGAGAGAGAGAGAGAACCAAAAATCATCTCACTTCACCGGAAATCGCCTCCATTCGCCGTAAATCGCCTCTGGTTCGTGTAAGAGACAGAAATGATCGTGTTTTGGTTTATATACATGGCACGCTTGTAATAATTTGAAATTGTGAGGGGCATTTAAGTCATTTTTCCCCTCAAATGGCAATTGCGTGATTAAGCTACAAGAAAAAGCGTCTCCTCTCCCACTCAAAGAAAAAACTGATTTTTGGCTTACCAAAAGCTATAATCTGTATTATTAAGCTGAACCAAATACACCAAAATAGCTTAAATTAAGCTAAAAGTTGAAATAAGTTGAAAATAAACCCTACCAAATAGGGCTTAAGAATAATTTACTAGAAGGGAATATAGACGTATAGAGGTACTTACTTAGAATGATGATCAGCCAACCGTGATTGCTTAGTTTAAGAGCCACATCCTTGTTGCAATCAGAAACTACATGCAAAAACCTCCCTCTACTTTCAGGCCAAGCAAGTGCTATCTCATTGACAGTGTCATCAATAAAAGATGTGTTCATGGTAAAGAAATCAAATGAGTGTAGCTTTGCAATACTTTCGAGAAGACTAACCTATAACAAGCAGATACCATTGTCAAAAATTACATCACCAATAAAAATAAGTGTACATCAGAGGGTAGTTTCAATTGTTAGATGAATGATAATGACAACTTCAGGATTCAACGTGATACTCGGTCATATCATATCAGATTAGAAAGACCAAAAATCAAAAAGACATGAATAGCCTCAAAAATGGATGCACAGCACTTTAGGTTGCAGAAAGAGAGAACAAAAACAGAATTTCATGGAATCCACCGTTGGAAGTATGAAGAAAAACCAGTGTGCTGGTATGAGGGGAAAAAAATTAAAAAATCACCCAGCACGACCATCAAGCTGCCCTTGAACACGTCAAATCATGTTGTTAATGGCCAGCAAAAATCAGTCTCAGCATCAGGAACACAAGAATAATGGGAAGTCCATATGTAAAAATTATAAACAACCAATTTGCACAATCCAAAAAACGAATAAATTCTGGTTACAGGTCTCTGCCAGATGGGAGGACAAGAAGTGTAAATGGTTGTACCTAGTGTACAAGGCCTCCCACCTAGAGCAAAGACTGGGAGAGGTAATAGAAAGAAAGTCTTGCCCCTACTTTTTCTGGAGAGGCCGATTCCATGACTTGAACCCACAATCACAAGGCTGGGGGAGGATAGCATTTGTCATCACGCTAGGTTCGGACATCCAAGCCATAAGTGCAAATAAAAAAAGATCCCATTAAAATTAACATTTTTATGGTTGTGGAAAAATGTTGACAAAGGAGAATGAAGAGTTCCTAGCCCATGCAACTGAGAGGGATGAAAGAAATGGAAAATTTCTCTTTAGCATTTGTGTGATTAAGGAATACCAAGACGGCACACACAAGGGGTACCCAAAGCAAGGTTAGGGGTACTCAAGGCTCCGTTCCTTCTACTGCACTACTTCTCTATCAAAGATAACTTATTCTTGTCCATGGTATTCTAAAACGGATACTCTAACCCTATTGCACTCAAACAAAAGCCTTCTAAGCTAGAGTATCCCTACTCCACTCAGACAAAGCCTTCTAAGCTAAAGTACAACCCTACATAATGCACATGTTCATACATATGTAACACACATGTATAACTTTTCTTCTGTTTATATACTTATGTATGTACAGTTGTACACGTGCCCATTTCAATTGTTTACCATTGCAAACTACAAACATTATGATGGGAAAAAAATAAAACTGAAACTTCTAATATCAGAGAACAGATAACATGGAAGCTTCAAGTTTGACTCCATTACATGTCACTTCATCTCGTAATCAATAAAAAGAAAATAGAAGCAGCACAACAGCAATATACATTATTCCCAGAAAGAGTAGTTCACACAACATAAGCAGCACCATAGAAAATCACCTCATGAGCTGAAAGGCCCGGTCCATAAGATATTCCCTACAAACACAGGTACACGACACAGGTTGATAGTATCAAAAACAAAACGAAAGGAAAATTAAGTCATGAATCATAAGCAAAAATAATCCAGAGTTTAAAAGATAAACGAAGGAGCAATGCACTGCATTCATTTATTTATTCATTTCTCGCTGGGCCAACTTCAGTACTAACTGTCTACGACTTTAAAAGAAAAATATACAAATTTGATACTTTATTAATCAATTTGTAGTCTAGAAGAGGAGTCACTGCTTTCAATAGAATTATGCTTGCGCCAATGGCCTTGTGGCCTAGTGGCATGGGTGCAGTACTTAGGTGCTTGCAAGGGTGAGTTGGGGGTTCAACTTCCCCAGGGTGCTAATCTAACAACTAACAACTAACAACTGACTTTCACCTATCAAAAAAAAAAAAATTATGCTTGCCTATGGGCAGGAAAAGAAAATATAAAATCATGCTTTCTGAAATCAAAGCATTATTCTGCCACTAAAATTGCCACAAACTGACCTTCCTGAGAAAGAAAAGCTTCATGTTATAAACATAAACCTTCGATCCCATTTGAACTACTGATGAAATTAAAAGTCATAGGTTAACAAAATTGTTCTACAGTTCAGCATACACACAGAATCTCAATCACAATTGATGAGGGATTTGCAATTAGGACATAAACTTATTAAGTTTCCAGCAGAATTACTTACCCTAAAAAGAAAAAGAAAGTATTCAGCAAAATTACTTAAAGGAAGTGAAAATAAAGGTATTATTAGTTACGGTACACAAAATTGGTGAAATGCAACCATAAGATGATTAAAAAGACATGATTCCCATTTACATTAGGTTAACAAATGACATTAAAGAGTTCAAAGTTGAGCCTTGAATCTATCAAAATCTAAATTACCACAAGAATTGAAAACTTTTCAGGGATAGTTCAATTTTCTATTTCAAAACTGAACGGGTTACAAAGAAATTCTGTTACTTCACTGAGTTGGTGGCAGGCGACAGGAGTGTTTTACTGAGTTGGTCTGGTGGTGTGAACTGTTATCAGCAAGATAATTAGATTAAAGGCAAATTTTAATTTGGATGAATTAAAAACCAGGGAAAACCACAAATTATATCCACAAATCAAAAATCTCATTTCAATTTCAGTCAGCTCAGAAAGGGAAACATCGGCACAAAACTTTCGAGTATACAAAGCATCATGAATAAACCCTAGTTGGGCAGCCTCTTGCAATTAACTTTTCTCTAGATGCTATCATTTTAGAACCTCTTGTCACCAAATTTTTATTCCCGAAATAGACATACCAATTATCTAATTTCCACACATTTAATTTTTCCTTTCAGTTACTACTAGGACACCACCGTAAAAATAATAGTCTACCCCACGTTGCCCACTATACATATTGTTAGCTACTTGAGAAACAATAAACAAGGAAACGACCGATTCGATGTTTTCACTAAAACATGGAAGATTACTTCATGGCTTGAGTTCACTTTATTTCCTGCCATTTAAGTAAAAGTACAAACTAAAAGTCTCATAGTGCCAAAACAAAAAAATACGCTCAGAAAACACCCAAAACATGAGAAATGATAAATTCCACTTGCTTTGCCTGGAATAAGAAATACATGCAATATATATATAAATTAAAACACCCAAAAAAAAACTCAAAAATCAGCCCACAAAAGAAAAAGGAAAGAGAGAGAGAGAGAGAGAGAGAGAAAACAATTGCATTAAAAATTACAACATAAACAAAACCTCAAAAAAATCCAAAACACGCACACACAGAAAATAACCACACAACAAAAATAAAATAAAATAAAAAAAAGAAGCACGTGAATTAAGGTACGAAAACAACAACTTCAGAATTAGAACCGCCCAAAAAACATAAAACTCATAAAACACCAAAAACATTAGAAAAAATGATAAATTTCACTTGCTTAGCCTACTACATAGAAGAAATGATAAATTTGAATTGGAATAAAAAGTACATCCAAAAAAAAAATAAAAATTAAAACCAAAAAAAAAAAAAATCAAAAAACACCCAAAAAAACATATATTAAAAAATAGCTGAATACACATCTACAACTTAAAAATTATAACCAAAAAACTGAAAAACACACAAACACCAATAAAAATAAAAAATAAAAAAAGCATATGTATTATCAGTTGAATACAACAATTTACAAAATTAGAATATTAAAAAGAAAATCATAAAACAACTGGAAAAAAAATCATAAAACAACTAAAAAAAACATAAAATAGCAACAACAAAAAAACTTAATTAATAGCTGGAAAAATGGTGAAAATTAGAACACAAACAAGACCTCATAAAACACCCAAAAAACAAGACCCCGGGGGGGGGGTTAAATTCCACTTTCTTAGCCTGGAATAAAAAATACATGCAAAAAAAGTAAAAATCAAAACCAAAAAATTCCCTCATAAATCACCCAAAAAAGTAAGACAAAATAGTTGCATTAACACTTGAAAACAACTTAAAAATTATAACCAAAAAAAAAAGCAAACACCCAAAAAACAATTTTAAAAAAAAAAAAAACAACTGCATTAACAGCTGAATACAACAATTTAAAAATTGAAACTCTAAAAAGAAACTCATAAAACAACTAAGAAAACAAAAAAAAACAGTGCACGTGCATGCGAAGGTTGTGTTTCTTGGCTCGAGCGAGCTTTCCTTCGCTCGAGCGAGCGAGTTGTGCCATCTGTAGAAGCACACTCGAGCGAGTATTCCTTCGCTCGAGCGAAGAAAAAAAAAAAAAAAACCTACTACTACTACTTAACAGCTGAAAAAAAAAAAAAGGAACACAAACAAAACCTCAAAAAAACAAAAACAAAAGCAAAAAAAGAAAGAGGAGAATTATCTAAAAAAAACTTCTTCAAAATTAGAACCCCAAAAATAAAAGTAAACTGAAAAAACACCCAAAACATTAAAAGAAATGATAAATTCCACTTGTTTAGCCTATTACATAGAAGAAACGATAAATTCGAATTTGAAATAAAAAATTCAGAAAAAAAATTGTAAAAATCCAAAAATATATATGTAAATAAATAAAAAAATAAAAAAACCTCATAAAGCACCCAAAAAGAAAAGAAGCTAAATTAACACCTCAAAACAACAACTTAAAAATTATCTATTCTATTACATAATGCTCACACTTTTGTCACTTTGTTTTTTTTTGATTTCCCAAAATGCCCACAAGAGCAGTCATGACCTTATTCTGTAATTTTTTTTTAATAAAAAAACTCCCACTGCCCACCCACATCCTGCACTTCTTCCACCATTGTATCTCACTTTCAATTCTGCCTTTTACCCTTTATCTTCTTCTGCATGCATACAAAAATTATGAAAAGGGCAAATGTATTTGTATTTTTTATTTTTATTTTTTTGGTCTATGGTTTTCACCTTCAATTGAGAGGAGCTTGGTCGGTTGAAGAAAGATATTGATGTTTAACTCATGGTAAATATATGATTTGTGTGCTTTGATGTGTTTTCTTTCTTGAAAATTATTTTGATGGAAAATCAATTTTTGCTAAATTGACTGACAAAGAGTTTGTTGCTTTGTTCTGTTGTTACATTACAAATGCTCCCTCTTTTGAATACCTGATTTTGGATTGACTAATTAGGATCATATATGGGTTTTCAAATTTGTTACATATTGCAGGCATCTTACTCCAAATGAATTAGCCTTAGATAAAGGAGTTCTGACAATATATTAACCAAACTTGAGTGGCTAACATGAGACAAGTCTCTACCGCATATGTGGATTGGTTGCATGTATATTTGACCCGCAAGGTCACTCAAAACCTAGCTCTAATAACATGTATGATTTATTGGATTTGGAACCATCCAACCTAAAGAAAATGAGTGAAGACTAATAATAATCTTCGAGAAATAAATTGTAGATAGTGACATTGGTCTGAGTCCGACAGAACATGGTTAGGTTTGAAAGCAATTCAATTCATGGAAGAACAATTCAATTGTGGTAGTTATAGATACATTTCTGAGAATTAAATTTGTACATATCATCACAATATACAGAGACACAAACACACATTGAACATACAGGTATATGTAGAGATATATAAACATGTACAGAGAGAGAGACAATGAGTGAAGAGACAATGAGAATACCGTAGGGATGTTGGAATAACGAAGCTTCCGGAGAAGATGGTTAGCTCCAGGACCGAGAGACGCACCTCCATGTTCGTCGTCGACGGCGGCCAACAGAGCTGAGCCGTCCAGTAGAATCCCGCCAACACCACCACCACTACCCATTGAATTTCGCTTACAAAATACGCAAACACAATAGTAATACAATAATAGTGACTCTCTCTCTCTCTCTTACCCTAATCCGGTTTTCCCAAATTCGTTCAAAACGGTGGGCATGTATTTCACCGGAATGCTATGTTTTGTTTGATATTTTAAAAAGGGAGTTTTTTTTTCATAAATCCATCTTTAATTACTTATGTTTCATTTAATTCATATTCTTTTTAATTATTTTATTATATCTTATTTGAGATAAAAAGATCAAAATATCTTTTTTATCTACTTATGTTCTATTTAGTTCATATTATTTTTTTATATTTCAATAAGTCCTATGGATGACATAATTACCAAAATACTCCTAATGTGAATGTTCACATCGTTAATGTGAATGTTCGTATTGTCAATGTGTAGGGGCCCGGGCCATGTACAATGTGAATATTCACATTGACATGTTAACATTCACACTGATAGGAGTATAAAATTAGCCAGCGACCCGGGGCGAGCCCAGTCCGGCCCGTAACAATGTGAATATTCACATTGACATATTAACATTCACATTGATAGGACTGTAAAATTGGCCCGCGGTCTGTGGGCGGCTCGAAGCCTGCCCGTTGATAATGTGAATACTCACATTGACATGTTAACATTCACATTGATAAGAGTGTAAAATTGACTCGCATCCCATGGGTGGCCTGAAGCCCGGGGGCGGCCCGGGGCGAGCCCGACCCGGCCCGTGACAATGTGAATATTCACATTGACATATTAACATTCACATAGATAGGAGTGTAAAATTAGCCCGCGCCCCGGGGCAAGCCCGGTCCGTAGGATGCATATTCAATGCCCATAATAAAATCATTTATAACTCTTTTGCAAAACCATGACATGCCAAGTTTTATATCTCAATTCGCCCGGGGCGGGCCCGGCCCGGCCCGCGACAATGTGAATATTCACATTAACATATTAACATTCACATTGATAGGAGTGTAAAATTGGCCCGCAACTCGAAGATAACAGTCTCGGGTCGGGCCGGTGGGCCTAGGCCTAGGCTCGAGCTTAGGCCGGGCTTGGGCAGGCCTGGCCATTTTTTTTTAATTATTTTAAATTTTTTCTATCAAAATTTTATTATTTTTCACAAAAAAAGACATTATGCCTTAGGCGAGCTGGGCCTCGGACCGAGCCTTGAATGGGCCTTAAGCGGATCGATGGGCCGGTCCGGGCTTCAAAGTGATGGCCTAGGCCCTAGCCTAGGGTCTCGGACATGCTCGGGCCCCGATCCAAACAAGCCTGCCCCAGGCCGTGGGCGGGCTTCGAACAGCCCACGGGCGGCGGGCCAATTCTATGTTCCTATCAATGTGTATGTTAACATGTCAATGTGAATATTCACATTGTCAACGGGTCGGGCCGGGCCTACCCTGGGCCGCGGGCGAGCTTCGGGCAGCGGGCAAATTTTATACTCCTATCAACGTTAATGTTAACATTTCAATATGAGTATTCACATTGTCACGGGTCGAGCCAAGCCTGCCTCGGGCTGCGGTCGGGCTTCGGGGCGCCCACGGGCTGCGGGCCAATTTTACACTCTTATCAATGTAAATGTTAACATGTCAATGTGAATATTCACATTGTCAACAGGCTGGGCCGGGCCCGCCCCGAGCCGCCCACGGGCTATGGGCGGGTTTCGGACAGCCACGGGACACGGACCAATTTTATACTCTTATCAATGTGAATGTTAACATGTCAATGTGAATATTCACATTGTCAACAGGCCAAGTCGGGCCCGCCCCGGGTTGCCTACGGGCCGTGGGCGGGTTTTGGGCAGCTATGGGGCGCAGGCCAATTTTATACTCTTATCAATGTGAATATTAACATGTCAATGTGAATATTCACATTGTCAATAGGCCAGGCCCGCCCCGGGCCGTGGGCGGGTTTCGGGCAGCCACGGGGCACGGACTAATTTTACACTCCTATCAATGTGAATGTTAACATGTCAATGTGAATATTCACATTGTCAACGGCCCGGGCCGAGCCCGCTCCGGGCCGCGGGCAGGCTTTTGGCCGCCCACAGGACGCTGGCCAATTTTATACTCTTATCAATGTAAATGTTAACATGTCAATGTGAATATTCACATTGTCAACGGGCCGGGCCGAGCCCGCCCCGGGCCGCGGTGGGCTTTTGGCCGTCCATAGGCCACGGACCAATTTTATACTCTTATCAATGTGAATGTTAACATGTCAACGTGAATATTCACATTGTCAACGGCCCCGAACGGGCCCGCGGGCGGGTTTCACGCCGCCACGGGACGCGTGCCAATTTTACACTCTTATTAATGTGAATGCTAACATGTCAATGTGAATATTCACATTGTCAACGGACCGAGCCCGCCCTGGCTCGCAGACGGATTTCGGGCCGCCTACGGGCCAATTTTACATTCCTACCAATATGAATTTTAAAATATGAATGTTCACATCATAAAATTGCTAACCGTTCAAAAAATATTTATAAGGGTATCAAAATTAAATATAAGAACATAAGTGTCCAAGAAAATAGTGTAAATCAAGAAAAATGACTTTATGGAATAAAACTATACATACATGGGACTAAATGGGTTAAAAAATTCCTTCATGGATTTCTTGGGTTAAAACACTTCTAAATAGGATTTATCAATAATTTTCCCTTTTAAAAACTATTTTGAAGACCGTCTTCAATACTATATCAATCATGTCATTAGATTTAAATTTGATATATATATATGCACTTTAATGATTTCATTAAATAAGTATTAAATTAAGGATATAAAAAAAATGGGCAAATTACATGTACCCTTCGAAATTTAGCAAAATTACAGATACCCTCTGAGGTTTGAGAAATTACAGATACCCCTAAGGGTATTATTTGCATAACAAATTAGGGGGCAAATTGTTATGAAAATATAAACCTTAGGGGGCAATTTGTTATGAAAATATAAACCTCAGAGGGGTATCTGTAATTAAGCTAAATCTCGAGGGAGGTATCTGTAATCAAACTGAGAACGCTTGAGAGCTTTCATCAAATTACTATTTATAGGCGTTAACTTTTTACCACCGAATGTCCCGAATTGACCACCTTTACGCAAAAATTGGTGAAAAATATACACTAGTCGGTCGATCGCTAGGTCGTTCACCCCGAATGTCTCCTGGATGACCACATCTAGGAAAAAATTTATGGAAAAAATACATTGCCCGGTTGACCAGCTGAACATTCGCCTGATCGTTCGCCCAGTCAACTGGTATTTTGATGAAAGCTCAAAATTCTCTGTTTGAACACTTGATATCAAATAAAGTTTTTACTCAAATTTGATGGGGGAAAAAAAAATGCACCATTGGAGATGCTCTAAAAATATCTTCAATAGCAAATGTTATAATAGTATTGTTAAAATTATAATTTGACAATTAATAGTAGTAAATTTTTAAATTCAAATGTTATAATAGTATTGTTAAAATTATAATTTGACAATTAATAGTAGTAAATTTTTAAATTATATCAATAATGTTCCAATAGTTACAGGCCATTTTGGCAAATTTTACCCAACTTTTCATTCAATTTTGTAACTGTTGTTTGAATACAGGTTTTTTAGTAATTTTTATTATTATTATTATTATCTTTTTTAAACTTTTTCTTTAAAAAAAATTAAAAGGGTATTTGATATGATCTAAATAAGTATATTTTTTTTACCTTTTATTGAAAAAAAATGTGTAAAAAACACAGAGATATAATGTGGTCTAAAAAAAATAAAAAGATTATTTAAAAAAAATGCTAATATAGGAAATATAGGAGATGCCAAATAGTGCCTAAATATTTGTATTCTACCAGATTAAACAAATATATAAAAAAATATATTTCAAAATTCAAAAAATATATATATAATTCTCTCTACCAAAAACATACCACTACAATTTTTTTAAAAAAAAATTATTAACTACATTAAAAATTTTAAAAATAAACAATCACCAATCACCTATCCACTAGGCTTGAAGAGGTACCTATAATTCTGACATGATCCATCTATCCACCACCAATCCCAACCACCATTCTTCGTCCACCAACAACCACCCATTATTCATCCACCATTCACGCACAAACAATTACCCACCAACAATCATCAATTATTCACCTGCCATTCAGTTACAAACTGCTACCCACAAACAACCCTCTATTATTCACTTATCATTCATTCACCATTCTTTAAGAGAAATGTAGTTATCCATAAAAAATATGGGGGCTAAATCGGTAAATGATGTATGTATCTTTGATTTCACTATGTTCGTGAGAGTTACATCTTGTCATCTAATGTTGTTTTGCAAAGCTGGTCAACAATGTTCAAAAGTAAAATGTTTGTTTTCATATTTATGGTATAAAAGTTTTGTTTGAAGTATCTGTACTGATAAAATATTAAATTAATTAATTAGTTAATTTTTATACGAGACAAAATAAAAAAAAAATAAAAAAAACTAACATAATTAATGATGATGAAATCTTATTATATCAATTTGAAACATTCCACCTAAGTGTAGATTTTCGAATTGCTCTAAACACGCATGAAATTTATTGTAACATTTCATGATTACACCCCATTGAGATTTGATAGACACTTGTATTTTTAACTGATCATTCTGAAGCGAGCGATAATTTTCAAAAATTCTTCCAAAAAAATGAGCATATGATTGCAAATTGTCAATAACTGTGTCTTCAGTAATGTGATATCAAGCTCTAAAAATTGTCACATCTTCATCACTACTGACTGATTTTCTTCTCTTTGTTTTTGATGAACCTTCTTAGTGATTGCGTGAAAAAACAAAAAAGAAAAATGTAATTTGGGATGTTTTGCAGTGAACTCAAATTGAATTTAGGTATTTGTATTTATACTACTACAAAAATATGACCATTTTTTTTAGCCATTTCATTTATAGCCATTGATGTATTCTCTTTATGAAAAAGTGCCCCTTTTTTCTTTTGTTCTTTTTTTCCCCCCAAACTAAAACAGAGTTGTTACGCTCATTTTTAACATTCAAAGACATCATCCCACCATTGGATCTTTGCATAATCCAACGACTAAGATCAAGACTCTGGAATCATCATCTAAACTCTCTCTTT